ACAGAAAAAAAAAAACCCCAGAAAAAAAAACAATGCTATAGAGTGCTTAGGACATTGTAGATGCTTATTAACTGGTAGCTACTATCATCACCATTGCAGGGCCTTCTGACTTGTCTTGGGGGGCTGAAGAAGCTGCCCAGAGTAGTGATTAAGAATATGGGCTCTGGAGTAAACTGCTTGGGTTTAAATCCTTATTCTACCACTTACCAGCTGTGTGACTGTGCATAACTGAATTCCTTCCTGTACCTCAGTTTCTTCCATCTACAAGATGGGAATAAATAACAATTTCTACCTTGTAGGGATAAATTATTTTAAAGAGATGAGAACTGTCAGGAAGTTGAGTTGAAATGAACTTATTTTGATCATCTACTGACATTGTTTCTTCCCATGACATATGAGTCTCTTTTAAATTTATAACACTTCTTCTTTCCTTCCTACTCAAATTGAGAGAATTTCTCATTATTTGTATTTGATGCCGATAAAAAACATTTGCTGTCACATTTTTCCTAGAAATGCAGATTAAATTGCAAAAATTACTATTTTCATCTAAGAAATTGGATTAACTAAACCGATAAAGCACAGTTTTTTCATAGAGAAAATAATTGAGAATTTTTTATAGAATTACAGTAAATAAAATCAGGTGTAGTAAATAACAGTTTTATAGGTAAAAATATTTAAAACTCTAACCAGCTGCCTGTTTAAAAAAACACACATATATATTCCATTATTTCACAGAAATTATTTGATTCTCCTGTTTTGATCTTGAATTTGGCTGGGTTGCATGTGAATTACTCTTTTTCTCCTTCAAGATGATACCAGTCAGGTGGGCCCATAGTATGTGAATCTACCAGGAAGAAAACAGTCTCTGAATTTACTGTATGTCTAGAAATCAAATTTGACTTACACCCGCAGGCAGTATAGGGTGTTGGCTGGGTTTGCATCATTATTCTGAAGTCTATACTGATGTCCTGTGACTAATATGTTCCAGCTGTCTAGGTCACTGCTTTGGAGTACTATTTATTTGCAGTAGTGATGCTGCAAATAGGAAAAGCTTTCCCTTTTGTTGGTTGAAAGCTTTCCTGGTAATTAGCAAAACAAGCATGCCTCTTATTTGGAGAGAAACTGGAAAGGAGGCTAAAGAGTCAATTGTACACAACCACTTTGGAAAACAATTTGGCATTAGAGGAGTTGAACACGTGCAATCCGTAGCCCAGCTCTCCTTGCCTAGGTATATAACCCTGGAGAAATTCTTGTCTGTGTGTACCAGAGGACAAGCAGTAGAATGTAAATGGCAGCATTATTCAAAGTAGCAGAAAATTGAAAAATTCCCAGAGGGGTCCCCAACAGTAGGACAGAGCAGTAAATTGTGGGTATGTTCACACAATGAGAACTGTATCGTGGTAACAAAATAAATGAACTAAAGCCACATGAGTCACAGGGATGAATCTCAAAATCTTAAGAGAAGAGGCAAGTCTAGAAGAGCACATACAGTATCGCTTCACTCATATTAGGCTTAGAATCAGCAAATCACAACATATTGATAGCACATATGTGGCAAAACCATAAAGAGGAGCCAAGAAATGATTGACTTAAAATTCAGGCCAGTGGTAAATCTTGGTGGTGGATGTGGTGGTGAAGGATGATTGGGAGACATGTAATCAGGAAAGACACACACACACACGGCTTCCAAAAAAAGAAAAAAAAAAATCTAAATACCGACTGGTATTAGGTATGTGCGATTTATTTTATTATTCTTTATACCTATATATGTTGTTAGGTTAGTTATCACTGCATAACCTCAAGACTTAGCACCTTAAAACAATAATACACATTTGTCATCCCACATAGTTTCCATGAGTAGGCCAGGAATTTGGGAGCAGCTAAGCTGGGTGGTTCTGACTCGCAGTCTCTCATGAGGTTGCAGTCAAGATGTCAACTGAAGCTGCTGCCATCTATCTGAAGGCTTGACTGAGGCTGAAGGATCTTCCAAGATGGCTCACTCACATGGCTGTTGCCAGGAGGCCTCAGTTCCTTGCTGGTTGTTGGCAGGAGGCCTCAGTTCTTTCCCACGTGTACCTCCGCAGAGCTTCTTGAGCGTGCCCTCATATCAGAACAGCCAGCTTCCCTCCCAAAACAGAGATGGAAGGTGGAGTCTTTGGACTTTTGCAGTCTCTCGCCGGCATTCCAGCAATATTGTAGTGGTTCCCACATGCCAGCCCTGTTCCGTGAGGGGCGGGACTATACAAGCGCATGAATACTGGGAGGCGGGTATCACTACGGCCATGTTGGAGGCTGGCTACCACAGTTAACGCACCTTTAGCTATAGTATATTTCACAGTAAACATTTTTTTAGAGGCAAACTAAATTGGTGAGCTCATTTTTCTTTAGTAATAGTGCACACATCCATTTAAATGAAAAGTTTTATAGATACTGAATGTATTACCAATTAGTATGGGTTTAAAGAAATGTCAGTGATGTAGCTAAGCATTTGAGTGGCCTAAGCTTGCCTGACAGGAATGTGCCTGAGGCAGGGGAGTGGACGGGAAGGGCCATGAGGAAAGGAACTTCAGTAATGCTTGTCCTGAGATCTATGGTGGGAGATGGGATTATATGTGCCTGGACTTCATTCTACTTGTACCTAGATCTGGCAACAATCTGAGACTCTTGATTTTGAAGATAATTCTCCAGGTGAAGGGCCATTGTGATATTAAAGTCTGTTCCTGCCCCACTCTTTTTCCCAAGACCATCTTTAATGAAAAAGGAGAGAGGGTCCACCCCTTGCTACTCACCCCCACGTCTAAGTGCATTGCCAGAAATGACCTGGGCAAGCAAGGACAGGAGCCTTAGTTTAAAAATCCACACAACGATTACATTCTAATCCATAATTTATACTTGTTTTAATGTTAACAACTTTTAAATTATTGATTCATTTGCTTAACCTTCCCTCACCAAAATCTTTGAGTAACATTGATGTTTCTGGAAACTATGTCATGTTTATTTTTCTTAAGCTTTGTTTAGCTCTTGGCATAACTTCTTAGTATTCCTGGGGGTCCAAGGGCTCTGGATTGTGAGGCAGTGAGTCGCACCATCTCCCCTTTGTGGATCCCAACATCCTTGTGAACAGGGGTTGCAGCCGGAAGAGGTTCTTTCCATTTTTGATGAAGCTAAAAAGTGGAGAAGCCCTCAGGTGAGGAAGCAGCCGGAGGAGGTTCTCTCCATTTTTAATGAAGCTAAAAAGTGGAGAAGATAGGCCTGAGAGCCAGGTGCACGGGCTTCCGGACTGGCTTTCTTTAGGCTTTTGTATACCAGTACTTCGCGTGTTAGTCATTGATACTGCTAACCCTCTGTGTGTAGAGAATTCTGGTGATTAGCAGATGAAGCGCCAAGAAAGGCCATCATGCAGAGATGTCACATTCTCCCAAACTGTAATTTTGATGCTGCTTCCATCTTTATTTGCGGAGCTGTGTCTGCGGCATTATATTCTAGCGTATTTTGCATTTTATAAAAATGAAAGGAAAATCCTCAACAATGATAGCTGCCTTTCATTATGATGAGGATACAAATCGCCAGGGATGCAGTGCGATGCTTGTTTTCCTTCCGTTTGTGAACAGTGTGCTCTTTTGAGGAAGAAGGAAAAAAAATAAAGTGCATATATATATATATATATATATATATGACAAAAATACATTAAGGGTTATTGTGTCTACAAGAGAAGTATAATTACTAATAGTAATTATAGTAATTGGTAATAATGATTATAGTATTAATGGTACTATTAAGAAAGATTATGAATATATGCTTTCAGGGAGCATACTGCAGCGCCCGGCTGCCTCCCTGGCGTGATGTGTTGTTTGGCCATTTGGCTGTGGAGTTGGTTTTAAGGAAGCATCATGTTCAGGGGCAGGAGGGTGGAGGTGACCTGTACCGTGAGACAAGCCCGGGGCTTGGGGTCAGAAGACAAATAGTACTTTCATCTCTGGTGCTTTCTAGTTGGATATCTTTGTTAGATATCATCTCTGACACTTAGCTGCCTTCTCTGGAAAATGGGATTCATAAACCCTGCTTACCTCACAGGGCTGTGGGGAGGATCAAATGTGATGGGTAATGCCAAAACAGCAAGTATTGTGGTGGCAATAGGAGTATGACTTTCAGGCCACGATACCACTTTGCCACAAACTTGTGTGTATTGTAGTTGAGTGTACTGTAGATTGGATCTGAATATCTTTGCTGGAAAGGATTTGAAGAGGTTCAGCAATTCCTGTGTGGTTCTAGGCAGGTACTTGGATGCCTTCTAAGTGTGGTCTTAGAAATCCAAGGTCAAAGTAAAGCTCAAGTCATTGAAGCTCCAGTTTTTGTTAGAGTGGATGTTTGGGCCACATCACTGCCCTGAAATTGCTGTGATTCGACAGGAACTGAGGCAAACCTTCAGCTATAAGATGAAGACCTAATGCATGGTGACTATCGGGAATAATAATGTATATTTGAATTTGCTATGACAGTAGACCTTATGTGTTCTCACCACACACACACACAAATGGTAACTACACTGTACGGCTCTTTTAGAATTTATCTAGCAAGTTTTCTGGTTTTTACCAGAAACCTCCTCAAAGAAAAGGGAATTGTATGAGGTGATAGATACGTTAAGTAGTTTGTGGCAATCATTTCACAATGTATACATATATAAAACCATCACCTTGTACACTTAAATATATGTAATTTTTGTCAATCATACTTTGATAAAGTTGGAGGGAAAAAAAAAAGAAACTTACAGAGGAATTCCTTTATTCCAAAATTTCCTAGAGTGGGTGGGGCTGATAGTTGTTCCCCACATTCAGTATGTGATGGAATTATTTTTTTTTCCTTTTTCCCCTATTAAAAAATTGTGGCAGTATTTTAATTTAGAGGGTTATCATATATTAAGAACATGTTCTCAACCGAAATAGTATTAACAGTAAAAGTTCTTGGTGATAACATGTCTGTTGCTTTGCTTATTCCTGCAGCATGAAGACAGCGTGTACGATCCCTGAATGGGCTTGTGGGTATATTTAGTCATTCATTTTTGATCAGGAGAAAGAAGACAGCCATCACTTGAAAGGTAAGTAAATATTTCTATGCAGCTTTTTATCATAAAACATTTTCAACCATACTGAAGAGAGTTAAGAGAACGTACAATGAGTTCCTGCGTGTCTACACCTTAGCTTTAACAGTTATTAGCATTTTGTCACATTTTTTGGTGTGTATATAGGTTTGTACATTTTTAAGCTGAAACACGTGGAAGTTGCAGACATCATGACATTTTTTCCTAAATTCTTGGGATGCAGCTCTTACAAATAAGGATATTCTCCCCTGAAAGACATCTTAGAACTATGTGACACAGAACTATTTAATTAAATTTATAGTTTTGTACTGAAGTGAACTGGGTTATGCTCCCTTCATTGTTGATACAAATAAAGTCAGATTAAAAACATTTTTAGGACAGGTGTGGTGGTTCACGCCTGTAATCTGGGCACTTTGGGAGGTTGAGGGGAATGGATGGCTTGGGCCCAGGAGTTCAAAATCAGCCTAGGCAACAAGGTGAGACCCGTCTCTAGGAAAGATACAAAAAAAATTAGCTGGGCGTGGTGGGGCACACCTGTGGTCCCAGCTATTCAGCAGGCTGAGGTGGGAGGATCGCTTGAGCCCACAAAGTCGAGGCTGCAGTGAGCTGTGATGGAGCCACTGCACTCCAGCCTGGGTGACAGACAAGACCCTGTCTCAAAAAACAAAATCCAAAACCATTTTTAATAGCAAGAACCTGTCTACAAAAAATTAAAAATTTAGCCAGTCATGGTGGCACATACCTATAGTCCTAGCTACTTGGGAGGTTGAGGTGGGAGGATCACTTGAGCCCAGGAGTTGGAGGGTGTAGTTAGCTATGATTATGCCACTGTACTCCAGGCTGGGTGACAGTGAGTCCCACTCTCTGTCTCTCTCCCTCTGTGTGTGATTATGTAATAATCTACCCGTCCCTGCTATGGCTGATGTTTCAAGTTTAGGTCAGTGGCTCTGATCACCAGCCTCACCTTCTCCCTGATCAGGATTCACAAGTAGACCAGGGCTGGGCCTGGTGACTCATGCCTGTAATCCCAGCACTTTGGGAGGCCGAGGTGGGTGTATCATTTGAAGTCAGGAGTTCAAGACCAGCCTGGCCAACATAGTGAAACCCTGTCTCTACTAAAAATACAAAAATTAGCTGAGCGGTAGTGGCATGTGCCAGTAATCCCAGCTACTTGGGAGGCTGAGGCAGGAGAATCACTTGAGCCTGGGAGGTGGAGGTTATGGTGAGCCGAGATTGTGCCTCTGCAGTCCAGTCTGGGTGACAGAGTGGGACCCTGTCTCAAAAAAAAAAAAAAAAAAAAAGTAGACCAGTCTCTGTGCTCTAATGTGATCAAAGGTCTTAGTTGATGTTTTAAACTTAAACTTGTAGGAGAATGTGGAAAGAATATGAGTGGTACTGTGAAGTTGAGGTTATATAGGTTAATATATTAAAATCAGCATTACAGAGATTAAAAATGATTCCCAGCCTCATAATTTGACTACCTACATTGAAACTTTACTTAAAATCTCAAAGATATGTTCAGCTATGATTACAGTTATAGATCGTTACGCGTTATAGCCAATTACACCATCAGTTATCTGTGGTTTTTGCAAGATGGCTGTCGACTGTTCTCCTTTCCAATCTCAGTTACTATTTATTTATAGTATCTTCCTCAGGTGGTCCCTGTGTATCTAAGCATTGCTTTACAGACATTTGTGTATATAAGGTTGCCTATTTAGAGTATATTTTAAAGGAAGTCTATTTAAGTGAGCCATTGAGGGCAGCAGTGGCTTCTTATACTCTCATTTCTGATTTAGAACAAAAGGTCAGTGATAGCAGTAAAGGTTCTTCAAATGATACTGGGATTCAGAAGGAGTTGTGTCTGGAATCATGGGTAGCTCAGAATGATTGAGTTTGCTTTTTTATTCTTTGGCCTCTGTATGGTTATACTTTGAAAAGACAAGGAGGAGTGAGTGGGACTCCACGTGAGGCAAGGGGGACTTTGAAGGATGAATGAAGGGAAGACATATGGGGCCCTGTCTAGTCCTAGACCACTGAGATATGGTGATTTAAAAAAACTTTCTACTGAAGTAGAAGATACATACAGAAAATAGACATATTATAAGTGTATAGCTCAATATAACTCCACAGATTGAACACATCCATGTAACCAGCACCCAGATTAAGAAATAGAGCATGACTAACACAATCTCATGCTTCCTTTTAGACACTTCAGTTGACTCTTAAATAGTTTGGGGATGAGGGGTGCAGTTGAAAATCCAAGTATAATTTTGTCTCCCTGAAAATGTAACTACTAATAGCCTACTGTTGACTGGAAGCCTTACTGACTTACTACATAATGACACACACACACACACACACACACACACACACACACACACACACACACATCTTTTGAGACAGAGTCTTGCTCTATTGCCCAGGCTGGAGTGCAGTGGCATGATCTCGGCTCACTACAACCTCTACCTCCCGGGTTCAAGCGATTCTTCCTCCCGAGTAGCTGGGATTACAGGCGCGTGCCACCACGCTAGGCTAATTTTTGTATTTTTAGTAGAGATGGGGTTTCACCATATTGGCCAGGCTGGTCTCGAACCCCTGACCTGGTGATCCACCCACCTTGGCCTCCCAAAGTGCTAGAATTACAGGTGTGAGCCACTGTGCCCGACCAATGACATATATTTTATGCATTCACAGCATGCCTCACATTTCCTTATTTTTTTTTTTTCTATTTCTAGGCTATGTGGTTTATCTGTGAGTTTTTTCAAATTGTTTCAAATCTCCAAAAAATTTTCCAATGTGTTTATTGAAAAAAATCTGCCTTTAAGTGGCCCCTTACAGTTCAAACCAGTGTTGTTCAAGAGTCAACTGTACCCTTGCTCCGTGGATGACTACTCTCTTGACTTCTAGGAGCATAAATTAGTTTTGCATATGTCTTTTCTTTGTGTGTATGTATGTGTAATATATAACGCAGATTGTACTCTTTTGTGTCTGGCTTCTCTCATTCAACAGCATATTAGATTCCTGCATATTATTGCATATAGTTTAGTTATATTACTCATTTTCATTGCTATAGAGCATTCCATTGTGAGAGAACATAACTATTTATTTATTTTACTAGATGTGGGTAATTGTTTGGGTTTACCCATCCAGGGCACCCTCCAGAGGAAATGGGAATTAAACAAGGTTTTCTCCTCATCGTGGTTATAGTGGAGGTAGTACCAGTTTGTGCCCAGCTTCTGCTGTGATATGAGGGAGGAATCCAGACCGCAGCGAGAAGATTGAGACACACTTGGGAGAATTGGGTGTGGTTTCATCAGTCCTGTGCTGATTCCTGCTGCTCTTCCTGTGACTCACCATGTCCCTTCTCACATCGTTCCCTACCGGCACATGTTTTCTACGTCCTCTTCTCTGCTATTATTACTCTCCCTACAGCCCCTCCAAGGAGACTGTGCAGAACATATCAAACAACAGGCAATCGATGAATATTTAAAGTTCATTAGGTGTTGATATTAAGTGTTAGGTGAGGGGCAAAGAGTTGAATGTTTTGGGCTTGCCCTTGAGTAGCCTGTAGTATAGTTATCAATTCACAGGTATGGCTGTGGGCCACATCCCTGGAAGCCAGTTGTACTGTAGAGTTCAGGGATGTAAATTCAGAGGCTTACATGGACCAGGCTGGTAATGTGACTGAAATGAATGGGGTTGCTTATAAGGAGTGATGGGCATGGTGGAGAGCAAATATATATCCTCTGCCCAAATATCAACCCAACAAACTCTGTCCAGCTTGATTTAGCAAGTCTACCACTTTCCAACCTTTAGAGAGTAGAGTCTTCATTATATAATAAGAAAATGCTCCTCAGAGGATTTGGGTGTTTTTATGGGCAAATTCTGTTTTTATAAATAAAGTTTTATTCAAAAAATCATGCTCATTTGTTTACATATTTTGCTAAAACTGCAGAGTTGAATAGTTGCAAAAGAGACCAGGTTTGATTAGTTGCAACAGTGACCATATGGCTTACAAAGCCTAAAATATTTACCATCTAGCCCTTTATAAAAAAGTTTGCCAGCTCCTGCTTTACTTCATAAAAGCAAGGACATAGTAATCATAACCTCTGTAGTCATGTAATAATCTGAGCCCATTAAATTTAGTGTTAATGTTCTCATTCATGTATTCACCCAACGCATATTTACAGAGTGCCTATTGTATTTCAGGCATAAAATAGTGATAATCAGATATGGTTCTTGGTCTTGAGGAGTTTAAGAGAGGCTCTTCTATCACTTCTTGGCCTTTTGGCTAAGATCAAGTATAGTAAAAGAGTCTCCTATGAATTTGAAATTCCATTCTATGATTGTGCTTTCTATAAATCAAAAATATGACATCGTGGTGTGGGGGCATCCCCCGTCAACTCTTCTAGTTATGCAGGTAGTGCATTTCCGTGTGCACCAACCACATGGGGCTTATTCTCAGCATTGCAGTTTTTAGAATAAAAAGTATAATATGGAAATGAACTAAAAATCCTCAACTTGAAACTATTATGTCAGCTATCTTTATTAATTTTATAAACTTGATAAACACTCTATATAATTTGATTTTTTGCTTCAGTAATGAGGAGTATGAAATGTGATGTTTGCACAATTACTGTAGTTTTAAATGTCCTAATTGTTTACATGTGGTAATCCCAGACTGTTTGAAGGTAGCCATGTCTGGAGAAGGGCTGATGAGTTTTGAAGTGGTTACTAAAGCAAGCCAAGCAGACAGCCAGTCTTGTGCTACTTTAATAATAAATATCAATAGAAACAACAGCCAACCAAGTTAATAGAGTTTGGATAATAAAGTTTGGAGTGCAGCATAACAGATTAATCTAGCTCTGTTCGTGTGCTTATCTATTTGCTTATCAAAGTCATAAAAGTTTGTTTCTTCTTGATAGGAGGATATAGGTGCGTTGTAATGAACATATAAAATACAGAAGTATTTTTTTACAATAAGGAATTTGAAACTT